AGGTCTTTTCCAACCTAAATGATTCTATGATTCTATCTCCAGATTAGCAGAAATAGTAAAGATTTAATGGCTGGTGTACAAGAATGTAAGACTAAAACCATGACAGTTCCCCAAGCTATTTGGTGACAGTAGAGCTAGAGCATTAGCGATGAGAGGTAACAGCACAGTGATATCAGATTTGTACAATGAGAAAACTACTTTTGAAGTCTCCTACTCTCATGCTACTCTTTCACTCCTCTTTTCATCACATTTATTCTAGTCCTGGTATATCATTTACTCCCCAGTAAAAACTGCAGCTTTCAGGAAAATCAAAGCCGTTGACTACCTTGACATTTAACAACACAGGTATTCTACAACTTTTTCTCACAATATATGCAGGTTTTATGTCCCCTTGGCATTTTTTATTTAGGCTGTCAACTCTAGCAAGAGTATCCAATTCAGTTTTGTAGCAATTACAGTACTCTTTTCTGCTTTGTGAGCTGCTATGGTTAGTCTAAAACAGGCTGCTGTCCTGTATTTCAGTGCACCAGGTCACCATGCTTTCAGTTTAACCTCACTTCAGCTTCTGACCTTAAGATGAAGGCTGCTGTGTGCCAGTTTAATCATTCCCTCTACAAAAAAATATAGTTGATAGGTTAATATTGGTGCTTGAACACCACTATCCCTTTCAGATGGATGTTCCTTAGAAGTTTTCAGGCATTTGGGAAAAAAAAAAGGGGCGGGGGGGTGGCAAAAAATAGAAATGCACTGAATGGAAAGAACCAGATTTCTGGGTCCAATCAGAAGCATGCTGGAAATTTTTTACTTTCATTGGGCACTACTGAAGAGATAAACAGAACGATACCTCAAGGTGTAATTTATTTGTGTTTACTAACAGAGGCACAAAGCTTCTTACAGGCCCTCAGGTTCTTATTCTATATACTTCTAAGCAAAGCTAAATACGGATCACTTTAGATGTGTTGTAAAACAAGTAATGAACCTTCAGCAATCTTTTGAGAGACAGAGCTTCCAGTTCCATTCAATTAGGGTTGCATCAGCTAATGTTATACCTTTTTCATTGGTGGTTGAAAGAAATCTGAATCCCTGGAGTTTCCATCCGTACTGCTGGTCTCACTGTAATGGTCATTTTGTGCTTCTCTTAAAATAGAGAAACAGCATTAAGAAGAATTCACCTCACAGGAAACTTAAGATACAAGCTAGAGACAAAGTAAATACATCTGTTTCAAAAAATTTTATATGCATGTTCACATACTATACATCAACATTTTTCCCCTATGTCTTCATTTCTAGAAGTTGCTCTAGATAGAAGGAACCAACTCTTCAAATAACCCTGTTTGTCAAAGGGGGAAATTCAACAGCAGGGGAGGGTGCTTCTCCCTCTCTTCAGAAATAGTAGCATGCTCACAGTGCAAGTAGGACACAGCAAAATCATGCCTAAATTAGAAACACTTTGCATACACACTTATGCCCACCAGGTATTAGCAGAGCTATGTGGGAGCCCTGAGATACTACTGTTTCAGAATGAGAGCTATTGTTTTGTCTCTTTCTGAACTGGGAAACAGAAACACATGTTACCCAGACAAGATTGTTTAAGGTCCACTGTTCAATTTGTGCAAGACAGAAGAACATGAGGGAGCAGAGCTACACATAAGAAAGTATTTAATTAAGATCTCTCAAAGGTAAGGTCTGTAGGATTTGGGTAGAGTGGTTGTCTGTAAACCAGCTGTAAGGCAGACTTCACATCAAACCCATTTCATGTCTCTCAAGAAGTTTCATTTGTGAAGTTTACTGTAAATATACGTATCCAGCTGATACATTTTTTTGGTCAGGGGTGGAGTACTGCACCGGACGAATCTTTCATCTGATCCACCCATGCCATGCTGTTCTTTTGCTTCCTCATTTACTTATGTCCATGCACCCCACTACAGGAAGCCCAGCAGACTTGCTCCTGGAAGGCAGACAATAGGAACTCCCTGCACCGGACCTCACCTCTGCACAGCAAACAGAATACTACTTCTGCACCCTTCACCAGGGCTAGAGAACTAAAGTAGAAACATCCTTTCCTTTTTAATCTGCTTTGTATGACAACAACTTAGCTAAAAATAGCATGTGTCATCTCAGACAGCTCTGGAGAACTTTTATAAAGTAAAATGGAACCTAAAGGTATTTTTCATTTCTAGAGCAAAATATTCATTCATAAAAACTGAAAGAAAAGGTTGGATGAGTAATTGAAGATGTATTTTTGTTACAATTTGTTACAAATAGGCTTTTACACAACATTGAAACTTACTGTTTCCTGAGGCCAGCTGCAAGGACCATGGCACTATGATGATTAAAGCGTTTTATAATGGCAGCATTGCTACTTTCTCTAGCGGATTTTGAGGCATTTGATGTAGAGGCCACAGAAGCAACACCATAGCCCTACAAAGAAAACAGTATTAGCTACCTCCTGCCCCAAAGCCAGAAGGACGATTCTCTGTTTTCCATTGAGTCAGGAAGCCTGCATGCCACCTCCTCTGAACTTTACTGAGTGATACTGCATCATCATCTGAAGCAGTATTTTCCTACCTTCCCTCCACCATCACTTTATGTACTTTGAAAAGTTTCCACAGACTATTTTATTCTAACGCTTGGCAGTTTAGAGGTGTCTGAGAGAAGAAAAAAATTCTTAAACAGATAGTTTTATAAGACCATGATCTGTTAAAAGTAAAAACAGAACTAGCTTAAAAAAACATTCAGGGATCACCTGTACAAAACAGACAGGCACTGATGGCAAGTAAGAGCTAGCAGTTGTTCTACTGCCCTCTTTTTAACACCTTGTGGGACACCAGCACCCCACAGACTAAATGACACCTGTCAGGAGGATGTGATACCACTAGGAATTCAAAAAACCTCAAGTGTTAATGTTGGCAGTGTTCCCCAGTTACCAAGTGGCTGAAAGGCAATCACTTTACCCTATGCTCAGTTTCATGCTTCGCAGTTAACCAGCCTCAAAAGCAAACTAGGGCAGTTTGCATAGCATTTCCAACATACCTATCCTAAACTCCTACTCCAGTTTTAGACTGGTAGCTTTATACAATTCCTATGGGGGAAAAAAAAAAACAACATCCCCCCCCCAAAAAAACAACAAAAAAAACCCCAAAACAAAAAACCCCCACCACCCCCCAAAACAACAAAAACCCCAACTTAGAAATACAGCATCATTATTAATTACAACTCAAAAGTTTAAGTTAAATCAACTGCAGAAAAGTGCATCTTCAAGTTATTTCACGTTATGGTACACCATTTATAACAATTGCTTTAATATGTACTTGGAGGCAGATGGCAGTTCAAGTTAGTCATATTTTTAGCAAAACACAGTATTTAAAGCTAAACAAAGAAAACTGTATAAAGTGTCCTTAAAATTAAGCTGAATCAAACAAATAGCAATGTTCAAAGTGGGAACAAATGCAAAAACTTTTTCCTGTTTTGTGCTACTCTTCTGTATGTTGTCACAGCTTCTAAAAGGTAGAAGAAACCAGAGAGTCCACTTTAGACAAAAAAGCCATCCAAGAGAAATAATTCTTTTAAAATTATAAGTCCTGCTTTTATACCCAGCACACTAAGACAGACATACAGGTCCATGGGCACAGTTTCCATTTCTCTGCACACATACAACTGTGTAAAAAACCATTACAGCAGCCTAGTAAGTGATGTGTTTTAGAATTAGCATTTATAGTTATTTTAACAGGAGGAGGACCCACTTTCTCCTTAAATGAAACTAGGGGGGTAGGGGTTTTTTTGCCAGCTACTTACTTCATCTAATGTTTTATCTTCCAAAGCTGTTAAATCTATCAGAGGGTTTTTTACTCCTTGGGACACCATTGTTTTTAACCCTGTATGAAGTAAAGAAAAAAACATTAAAAACTGTACCTGAACAAATAGAAATAATTGTGGAATTATTAGATTATATTTAAACTTTGTCTTCTTTTAAAGGTTCTGCAGCTGCCCAAGTATCAGTGTGACTAAAACTTTCAACCCTTTTCAAAGTTCCATTGAAAGTAAGAAACAAACCTGGAAAGTTATTGTAAAAGATTGTCCTACTAATTAGCGCAGTTTTTATCAACTTCTACACATCACTGAATACTGCTTGGTTTAAAAAAAAAAAAAAAAAAATTGAAGAGGTAGTTATATTAATTGTATTAGTGGGAACCAGGAAGCCTTAATTGTGTGTTTCTTCTAATTTTGGCACTGTTTCACTGCCCTGTCTTGGGCAGAATGATAATTTCTATCTGGTGATAGCTTTTAATTGTGAAGGGTTGTGGATTCCTAACAGAATGCTTTCACTAGTCAGAATACGTATTAAGGAATGGTGTTAAGTGATCTCAATTCTCCACATTTCTGTATCATCAGAAACCTACCTCAAAAATTCAATAAAAACTTAAGTCAGATAATATTTTAAGATTTCACATTAAAAAGGTTGACAAAGAACAGGGGTGGCAACTCCTCTGGAAATTCTTAAACAAGATCTGTATTTGTCTATTACTAAAACCTGATCTATAACAAAAGCTATGCCTGTTGTAAATTGTGCACATACCACAAAATGAAGCCTTATGTAAACAAAGTTATTCCATGGGAACTGATGGCAGGGCATAATCAATCTAGCATGATAGCATATTACAGAATTTATCACAGATTTACTGTTGCATGAGTTGTAACAAAGACTATTTCTAGTGCTACCACTTTCCAAAGGCTAATTTGTTTCAAGAAATACACTCACTGCAAAACATGCAAAGAATAGCAAAGCGATAGCTAACTTTCAACGATAATCTGTAGCTTTCACTTCACAGTTCGACAAAAAAGATGCTCAGTAAACGGACATAAAACTTTTGACTTCAGCTCTCCTAGGTTTACTAGATACACCTCTTGAGTGTTGTGCTCTAGGATATAGCTAAGACTGTAGCAGCCTACTGCAGAAACAAAGTCAAAAAGCTTACCTTTTTCATCCAGTTTGGCACATTCCGCAAAGAGGTCTTTTGAGCCTGTATTGAGCCTGTCCCGATGGAAATAGTGAGACTGAAAAAACCGTGTCCAGAATTCCTTCTCGGTCATGTTATGTGGAACATTTTCTGCGTATTTCATTTTTACTGTGAACAAAACACATAATGATTACAAACTGTTCCACAAATCTTAATATGGTATTTTATGTTGAAATTTCCTTGCTTGCTGTCTAAAGCTGCCTTCGTTCATGCCAATTAAATGTAAGGGAATGCAGTAGTTAAGCATGAGCAAACAGGTAGTCTTTTATGCCCTGCCATGCTAGCTAATGCTTTGAAAAGAAATGCACGTAACAGTGGTCTGAATGCTCTAATTTGAATTGCACACACACAAGAAGTCTGATTTGCCAGAGTTCTAGTTATTCTCAGAATGGATCTAGTCTTTTAACCTAGGGCCAAAATGAACCAGGGTCAGTGTTCAGTATAGTGCAGGGGAATGACGGAAATCAGATTCTTTTCCTCGCAAAGGTGATTTCATGAAAAATAACAGTTAATTGAAATGCTGAGTAGGACAGTATCGTGGAAACCAAATATCTATTCACAATTTAAAAAAAAAAAGTCAACGCAACAAGTTAAAAATGTTTTCATTTAATGAAATCAAGTTTTTATTTCAAAAGCATGTTTTAACACATGCTTCTTCCCATCCCTCAAATGAGGCAGGGAAAATCATCCAGAAGACTGGAGGTATGGTCCTTTATAATTCCAGGGTCAGACTAACATTCTAGTTTTCCCACAGTAAGATAGTAAAAACCAAATCTTAAATGCATGTATTTGTTACGTAAAACACTATTCTTACCTGCAGGATATGTTCGAAATATGGATTCAATGATATCTGAAGTCAAATTATACCTCAGACCATTGCAGCCATCTGTTTGAGGCCGTACATCAGCCTAAGAAAAAGCATACAGGGAGGAAAACCGGTCATGTCTGAATGCCTTCTGTAACTGGAGAAGGAAAAAAACCTGGCATCTTGCAATCAAATTCTGCTGCAGATAAAATAATCTTCCTCCTCCAATAATTCATGGCATATTTGATCATAAATAGGTATTTTTAGAATGAGAAATAAAAGAGCATGCATGAACTACTTTATTATACTTGCCACTTAAGGGATGATTCAACAAGTAGACTGTAAGCTTTACAAGATGAAAAGCAAAGACCACTCCATCAGTCAAAAGAAGGTATGCTTAGTTTAATATATCCTTGTTTCAAAGTAAAAATAGGCTTGTTTACTGTATATGCCTCATCTTTTGTTCAACAGTTTAGCTAGTGAATAATCAGTGATGATAATGAAGTGACAAAAAAGGATTCATGGCTCTTGCACCCTATTTCCTTATACACTAAAAGCATCTCAGTATAATTGATAAATAACATTTAATTTAAAAATTGAGGATAAGCCTTAGTCAGAACTTGCAAGTCAGATCTTGGTGATCTCTTTAGGAAGCTCTGGAGCAAGCCAGTGCCCAGTCCAATTCTCAGTAACAGGAAAAAGCACATGGTTGCATATGCTGCCTGCTTTTCTTCCTTTTCCTGTACCCCTAAATTCTAGTTTTTGTACCACCTTCTTCCTAGAGAAAAAAATTCTGAGCAGAGCCAGATAGTTATTTTAACTTGAACTATGACACACAAATATCTGAAGTTTTCTTCTTCACAAATGCAGAGTACACAAACACAACCAGTTATTTTAAGAAAGCTTCAGTTTTGAAGGCTTTTTTTTGGTTTTGTTTTTTTTTTTTAATGTTAAGGTGTAAGAATAATGGAAGACAGGAAATCAGAACAAACAAGTTCATTTGGTAACTGATTCAGGTATTTCTAGGGGGGAAAAAACAAGTGTTTGTACAGCAGCTAACTCATAAAACAAGTCCCACCACCTCTTTCCCTCCCAAAACCTTGATGTGTGCAGTCATTACAACAGTGGAAATGGGCTTCCAGTTAAAGAGTCGTCATCTGTATGAATTTTGTTGCAGAAGTAGAAACATGTCTCTGGGAGGAATCTGAAGATTGTACCTAGATTACTTTTAGACTGCACTGAGATTACTGAAGCATGGTTTCCACAAATGGGTAACATAACTGAAAGTTGGGGAAAGAGAGAGATAAAACGAGCTTTCAGATACACAAGTTGTTCTTCAAGTCACTGAAAGCACATATTGGTTTAAAAAAAATTGGGGACGGAATAAAATCTTTTGCGTGGAAAGTCTTTGCAGCTTGTCAATGCTGCAACAGATACTCTTTTTAACTTACTGAGTTAATACACTGTAATCTAGCAACTAAGTTCACCATTATTCCTGTTTTACGGAAGGCAGAGCAGCAGCATAAACACCATCTGCCTATTGTCAATTTAAAGTTCAAATCGAGCACCTTAAATTGAGAAAATTTTGACGTTGCAGATTTGTGTAAAACCTTTACTTTTTGTTTTCCTCCTTTACACTTGCAATAGTCTAACATGCGGAGAGATGTGAAGTTGAAGAACCAGGAAAGAACAACAGTGAAGTATATGGGAATAAAGTACATGAGCAGAACTCTCACTTTCCCCAATTTGTTTGCTCTAAAATCCTTTAAGTTAGAGGTTCAACGTACCAGAAATGCTGCAGAGATGCCCACATCCTGCTTACTAGGTGCTGCAGAATTATCCCCTGCATTCAGGCTTAAACGGTTGGCCCAGAATTCTTCAGCACTGATTACTTGGCTCACAACAAGGTCTTTATAGAGCTGAAACAAAACAGGATCTTCTTGCAGCATTCTGGTAAAAGAATGTATTGAATAGAATTGAAACGCTGCAGAATAAATCACTAGGATTTCCATAACTAACATGAGTTCACAAAAGGAACAGAAACCAACTTTTCTTTCAAAATGCTGTGCATTTCTTAACCAGACTGTTTAAACAACCAACCTCAATAGCTATATTTGTCTCAAAAGACTTAAGAAAGGACTAAAAAAAATGTTTAAGGACTAGCATGAAATGCTAGAAAACAGTACTGCCTAAGAAAAAGTTAATGTGGGATTAACATCTTGTCCTAAAATATTCTGTGGTGCTCTTGTGTCTTTGCACGTCCAGGACTGGAGTCTCCTGAACTGTAAAAGCGCAATGCATTTTCTTGAACTTCCATAACAAATGTCTCGTGGTGGGAGGGGAAAGGCTATTTCAACACTATCCAATTCGTGTTTAAGATCTTAAAATTCAGTAGTCACAGGTGTCTATTCTAGTGTGAGAGTACAAAGCATGCGTGGGGTAAGATACCTTAAAACACACGTTACCCTAAGTTGCTTGTTCATTTATGTTTCTGTCAGTGACAGTAGGATCTTCATCACTTAAATACCACATGCAGCACAAGTGCTACAGAAATATTCAGAAACATTCCCTTCCACCAGGGAATAATGTTTACAAAAGTTATCATCCAAATATCAAGTATCACCCTTACTATCCAAAATGCAAAGAATGTATGCACCTGAAACTTCAGTTAATTCATGTTTAAGCAGATTTTTGTACAGCTGTGTACCTAGTTTGAAACCCACTAGGCTGTTTTCAGGTAAATGTGCACATGTGTTCACAATCAGCCAATAACTTCAGCAACCTTTAGCATGTACCTCAGGGTCTTGACCATTTGCAAACAAAAAACCAAAAAAAAACCCCAGGAATCTTATGAATACATAGTATACGGTCTAGGGAAGAACATGGATAAACTGCAATCTGGACTGAATGAAATTCTGTAGCTGCTCTAAGGATCAAGTAGGATGAAAAATTTGTGGCAGGATACCCCTATTATGTTTTAACCACCAAGGTTCTTCCAGTTTTTCTTGTTGGTACAAATATAGATTAGTGGCAATTCTTACAAATTAGTGCAGCAGGAAGCAGTCTGTTACTCTAGCTATTTCATTAAAACTCGGAATTTTGGTACATATCTAACCCCCACATATCAATAAATGGAGGAAGTGCCACAGGGACTCTGGACTGTAGTACCCTTCCGAACAGGTTGAAACTTTTTTTTGCCTCATCTGTTGCAAATTAAGCTAATGAAGCCCCATCACTAGACTTGGACTGCTAATCATCAGAAGGATAGACTATGACTGAGCCTGTGCAGAGATTCTGGCTTTTCTGTAACTAGAAAAGCTCTTAATGCCGCATGGCGTAATACTGTAAAACTCCATTTAAGGATACACAGATTCAGAGCTAAGACTGTTCATATACCCAGTACTAATACTAAGGCACATAGCATGAAGAAACTAGTACGGTAACAGTGCCAAAGCAGTCTGCGCTGCTATAGACCCTAGTGGTCGCTGTAGTACTGGAACAACTTAATCCTGGATGTGTCAAGAGCTCCAACACAAGGGCTCTTGCCCTTCTGCTAGGAAATCTCCTTGTAAAGCTCTGATCTACCCAATGAGGCAATGCTCCTATGTTTTGAAAAAATCTAGCTTTAACTTAACCTAAGTTCAAAGCTAGAACAGTCTTTAGAAATAGAAGCTAGTAGATACAGGATTCACAGCAGATGCTAGAATGAAGTGAAAGTCATCGGGGGAGATGCAGAGAAGGGTGCTCTATGGCCACAAGGACTGGTTTAATACAAACATGTTAAAGGAACAGAAGCATATCTTAAAAGCCCTTTTGGGAAAAGGACTTAGGTCCTGAACGTCTTCTCAAAACATATTTTAGAATAAATGTGCTGTATGCCAAATAACAAACTACTGCATCTCAAGTGAGAAGCATGAAAATATCTAGCAATTTAGTAGAGTATATAAAACATCAGAAAAAAAGATTTGAGGGGGAAGAGGCTATACAGGGTCGGGGGGGGAATCAAAGAAGGTGAGAACTTCTGGAAAAGGAAAAAAAAAAAAAAATCTTTCAAGCAGCTTTTCCAACTGATAAATATATACTTAAGAAGACTAAAGAGACAGACTGCCAGTCGGGTGCTTTCATCTCATAGCCACGGATAACAAAGTCTGGGTGGCAGCTGGGCTGGTTGCCTTTACACCTCAAGAACGTGTCACTGAGAACACCAGTACAGTCTCAACATGTTAACAGTTATGTAAGTCTCAAGGAACTGCCTCTAAATTGAAAGCAGAGGGATTTTTACTAGGGAAACAAATGCCATATCACTAACGATGTTGCAATATCAACTGTTAGCAGAAATACACTATAGTTAGGTAACAATTAAAAAAACAAACCAAACAAAAAAACCCCAAAAAACTTCAACTTCCCTTTACCTGTTCTTCTCCTCAAGTTCTTTATTAGCTTTCCTTTTGAACTTGGGCAACAGTTGTTGAAGAAGATCCTTTACCGCATCTCGCTCCTTAACTGCTGTGCTTTCATTGGAGAAGTGAAAGTTGGTTGTGTCCCCTGCATGCAATACTAGCTGAAGCTGAATTTTAGCTTTACCTTCTGGACTGATTTTCTGACCTAGATTATACAGAGAGTATTAATTAGCAACAGACAGTAAGCTTCTACAATAAACTCTCTTCCCTAGAGTACTTGCTTATAAGCAGTTATCCTCATCATCCAATTAAATACCTGCATGTGAATTCCAGCCATGAAAGTGGAACAGACAGTCTTCCCCTTAAATTAGTTTGAACCCTGCACCTTGTTCTCTCTAAAACACAAGACACAGACACCAGTAGCCTATTGCTCAGTATCCTTCAGCTACTGCTCAGGAGCCCTGATTCATCTTTGCATTGCTGACATCCCCCATTAGAAAACTGCTGCAAATTAGACTGTCATTACCTGGACACTTTAACCTGGTACCAATCCAGGCTGCTGCCAAAAGGTGACAACCTCATTCCCCCTTTCCACTTCTTCCTGCTGCCTGTCTTGTACTAGTGTTAGCGTTTGTGCAGCAAGCTGAACCAAGAACTGCCCCACTGAAAAGTAACCCCCTTTTGGTTTTCCAGCTGGACCAGTTCCCGCAGAAGAGAAGCAGTAAGAAAGCAGATGCAGGGTGGATAACAGCATGTCCGCTGACGGCAAAGGTATGCTGGTTTCAAGTGGTGTGGTAAGCACATTTAGCTATTAGCACTCCCAAAGTTGATCACCAATGCCTCCAAGGTGCTATTACACCCTCATGACTCATAAGAAAAACCTAACTCCTGCTTCCTTTCTCGTAACCAGAGGGAGCAGAGGCTAGAACAACTACGTTTATGGACTGTTGTGCTATATTGATTTCAGCATAGCACTGCAAATGGCACTAACCTAACTTTGAATCTTACCCCTTTCTCCAGTGCAAGTGGGAGACAGGAACCAGATGTCACGGCTAAATCATCATCTCTATTACAAATTTACAAATACCCCCCCCTTTTTTTTATTTTAGATGACGAAAAAGAGCATCTTTCATCTAAGCTAGAAAGACTTCAATGCCTATACATGTAAGTATTTAAAATAGAAGCTGCTTAAGTATAAGTAAACAGCTAAATAAAACCTTCACAAAGTTGATGATTATAGGTGAACAGAGCTTTTCCACTCCTTATCACATTCGTATTTAAGAAAATGTCATATTAGTTCGGATTCATCATGCATACTTTGATCATGCTGCAGTACTTGTGTGTGACTTCAAACAGCAATAATCACTAAACCTTTACCAAGTGATGCACATAACTTTCTTTTCATTCCTTCTTTGGCACTACAGCACATGGAATATGAACACTAATTGGAGCCAGAAAGGCAGCATGCTATAGACATTTACTGTTCAGTTTTGACTTGCAAGTGCTCTGCCATTGCAACAGCAAATGCTTGTTCGGAATGTTACCAGTTAGGCGAAACTACAGAAGCTAGCACTTCTGAAGCTATGGTCTGCTGGATGAAAATAAACCAGCAAGGTTAATTTTATATGAAAATTGAAACAGCTTTAGATGCATAGTCTAACAGATGACATGCCAGATAGTTTCTGTGATAGACCCTGAAAATCCTATACTCTTCCTCAACCCTCCTCCCACCCTTCCCTCCACAAGCATATGGCATAGATTATTTTTCTGTTCAGTTGATTGCAGAAATTTATCAAAAGTTAATAGTAAATGCAGTATAACTTAAACATCTGAAGACTACAGAAGTTCTGCAGTAGCATCCTTACTAAACTGGTGATACTTCACCATGGTTCTGATCTCTGCTGCTACACAGAATAACCTAGGCAAAGCTCCAGACCCTTGCAACCTTCCTAACTTACCTACCAGTGTTTTATGGCAAATAAGCTTTGGGTTGTATTTTAAATGTTTATCGAAATACTGTTTACTGAAGCTGGAATAGGAAAAGCGTTCACTTACATTTTATGTCTGCGTACATATGGCTGACTGTGAATCGGTCTTTGCCTTCGGGTGCCCATGCTATCCTTTCGGCCATAAGGTAGAGAGCTCCATCCTGCTTCTTCTGACGTACTTTCTTTACAATCAGTAACACTTCTTCAGATGACGTTGCCATTCTGGCTATAAGCAGCTATTAAAAACATAGTCGAGCTGATTAGTATTAATTATTTCTGCTATAACTCTTTCACTACTCCTACCTGCATCACAACCCACATTTACTCATTAATGCCTACATCATTTTTAAAACAATTCCAGATAAACATGCTCCCCTCTGTCAGTGCAATCAGCAAATTTATTTAAACAAAATACTGCCAGCTACCTAAATAATTCATCTAATTGTATTGATGATACTGCTTTTGCTCCAAGAAAAGACCCACAAATCTTACATTTAAACTGATAACCAAATTTTCCTGTTTTCATGTTCCTTTACTGGCTTTTAAAGTTTGGATGAATACTGAAGCTAAGCAATGACATGAATTCCAAATCTCCTGGGGCATTTGGCAGCAATTCCTTTCTTCAGTGAGAATGGCAGATGTTAAGTCATTTCAGAAAAGGGAAGGATACAAGGTATGTGAAAAATCATGGATTTTCAGTTATCTGTGCTAAAGATAAGGTAGCCCAGTTACACTCCTGTTCTTACTGTGGTGGGTTTTGCCCAAGGCTCGAACAATGTTTTGTACACTTGATTCCAGCTGGCCAGTTTCCTATCCCTCTCCTCCAAAGTCTGAGAGACTAATGTTATACCTACTTCAATACAATGGTAATTTTGTCACCAGTCTCACATCCACAAGCCTTTTGATACTTGCTGCACTCTTCTCCCCAGCAGTCACTACCACTCCTCTCTAGAGGAGCCTTAAATTTCTTAAGAGATTAAGGACGCCGCAAATATGACTACATTCTATTAACATACTGTTGTACACCTATCAAAAAATTACATCTTTGGTATGTTTGCTGTAAATGTTTTGTCTGTCAAATTCCTGTCTTTTGTACATCATAAACTTTAGTACTGATAAGTAAAATAGTATTTTCAAATGCTGATATGCATGTTTCATGTGCTTTAGAATATCTGTAATATTTGCTGGGGCCCACTTCAAACAGCAACCTGCATCAGCTATCACACTACTAGTAGCTATCACAGAATGGTAGTTCTAAGCATTTCAATTCACTTTTTTTTTTTTTTCCTTTAAAAAAACAGCAGCAAGATATTTTACTCTGACAATCTGGACAGTAGCAGAGCATTCTCTTCAGCAAAAGTCTTACAAGCTCATCTCCGAAATGACTTAAGTAAAATACTAAATGGAAACACTTAATGGCAAAAGGGCTCTGCATTTACGCTTTGTTCCTTCATCATTTCAGTCATCCAGAGCTTTGCCAAAGACTTCAGTGATGCTGAGCTGAACGTGGGGTTTCACATCAGCACCACTGCAGCAGTCACCAGAACACACTGTGCCACATTCAGAGCAGCTTCTCTCTCAAAGAAAACTGCATGGCATGATTTCAGGACGTTTCCTAGCATAATCCATTACAGTCTCCCCAGCAGCATTATTCTCTTTCAGTGCTATTCGCGCTACCATTTTATGTAGAGTTTCCTGTTGCAGGTCTGTAGTCTCTCATCAGTACCTTATCCTTACCGGAAAAAGGCAGCTGGCCACAGACTCTAATAGACTAGAAACCTCAAGATATACAAGACTAAGGATTCTGACTTTTTTCACAGTCCTCTAAGGTCATTATTATCATCCAATGCAGTAGAGACAAAGCCACAGAATGCAAAGGAATTAAATCTGGACTGAACACAAAGAAAAAGGAAAGCATTTCCATAGTCAGGCTCATTCTGATGCAAGTCGCTTTGCTTTTCTACCATGCTATTTCACCCACCTACAACCAGTCTTTCAACTACGGAAGAAAATGATCAGCAGCTAGCAACTTCTCCTTTACAACTGCGACGCTTCTAGCACAGTACCCTGCAGCGTGCAATCTGTGAAGGCACAGATTATCCCACAAGTGGCTCATTCTACCTTCTGGGAGGGTGAACACACTAGCTCACTGCTGTTCTTATTTATGTCATTGCTGTGCTTCCTTTCTCATGCAGTAATTTACGGTGGCAGTAGAATGATACGACTCACAAGCACAGTAAGCATTACCCAAAATGGAGAAAACCCCAAGCTGTCTTTTGAACAGTACATCAGAGTGAATTAAAAAAAATTAATAATCAGGATTTAGGAAAGTTACCGTCTTTCACTAATGAAAACAAGATGGCTTCTTGTTACAAGAAGTACAGGAAAAATTCTAAAATAGAAATCTTGCCTAGCTGCTAGAAAAGCATAAGGATGGTCTCCCACTGACTGCAGAGGGGAAGGCTATGTCCTCGCTAAGCACACACAGTACACCAGTCATTTTCTTTTCTTGTTGGACACTTAAGGTTTACTATGCAGAAGGGTGAGAGCCATCTATGATCTATTCATGCCTGCCCAAATCTCATAAACTCTATATTTAAAAACCGAAGTTTTCAGGAATCAGTATTGCGGATGATGACACTATTGCTCAAAGGGGCAAGAACTGCAACATGCATATGGAGAAATTCTGTTATTTTACAGCTTTAAGTGATAATTTTAACCCGCTGCTAAAAGAAGTGGCATTAGAGTTCTTCAGCTGCAAATTCTGGAGGACAGACCTTTCTCTGGTTTAAGTATCTTCCAGAATAGGAAGGTCAGACACAGTTTATTTTCAATTCTCCAGCAGCAGAGCTTTGAAGTGATGGCCAGTAGTTCCAAAAACCACTTGGATCAATCAGTAGCCCTAACCCATGGGGTATGACTTGTCATCAAGCCTGTCTTGAGGATGTTAATTTCAGCTGCGGTTTACAACTGGCAAGGTCTATCAGGAAGCTTCAGTGTTGGCATGAAACAAAAAAAAAAAGGTCCTGTTTGCTTATCTACCTATAACCCCTCCCCTCCTAGCTCTGTGGGAGTGAATGCAGCTTCTGGAAATACTGTCAAATTCCAACAGCTATCCTTCCTCTAACGCAGCGACTCTTCCTAACCACTTTTAAAACCAAATACCTCTCTTCTCTGTTCCTTACAACACCTGTTCTGAGCGCTCTCCACTACCAGCATTTCACTCCAGTCTCTTCCCATGTGGTTTTGTCAAGTTCTGAGTAGGAGTGAAGGAAACCTTTAGACATTTTAACAATCCTGACTTGGTCAGGGTCGGCAGGCGAGCTCTGACAGATCTGATGCAGGCCTTGCTGCTAGGTTCCCACTCCCTGCAGGGAACAGCAGAATATCTACACTAAGGGCCCAGACTGAACCGCAGCGGCACAGGTACGCAGCCGGGCCCCCACTGTTGGGCGGCACAGCCCAGGGACCGGCTGGGTGAGGCCGGGAGCCCGCAGAGCAGCACCCCGGGGGGCAGCAGGGCCTGTCAGAGGAATACAGCTCAGCAGAACGGGGAGGCATGACAAGTACCATTTGTCTTGGAGACACCGGCGAGCACGACAGCGAGCTGAAGGAGCCACGGTTTG